TCTAAAACGTTCTAAGGTGTTGTCAAACCTCGTCGTGGTCATCCGGGTTGTCGAGCGATCTTAATATTTTTCCAGGGAGCGAGCACCAGTGTAAAATCCAACTGCACTCGTATTCTTATCTGCAAAGCTCGATATGAAATTTGTTTTATTACAAGTCCTGGAATTAGTATGAGAAGTGGTCAAGGGCGCAATGTCTCTATGGCCGCAAAGTAGTGTCCGGTATAGAGTATCAAGCTTGGATTAAACCATTCGATTGTTCAGAGGGGCCAGGCACTCTTGATGGTCTCAGGGGTAAGGGTGTGAATTCCCGACCCGACTGATCGCGGCTCGAGTTCTGATAGGGACACAAAAGTACGCACTGCTGACGAGTCCCAAACAGGACCAAACAGCTGTCCAGTGCTCTTTGTTAGTGTCCGGTATCTTTTCACGAAAATCACATTAATCGTCCACTCCAATCGTGATGGATCTTAAAATATCGAGTATCGAAAGGAATTTGATTAGTGCAACAGTATTCAGAGAAAAAACGATTACCAATGTGAATCAGACGCCTTACTGCTGAAGTTTAAACCCGAAATATGTATGTAAAATGTATTTAAAATGAACCAAGAAGAAAGAGAAAAGACATATTGGGAAAAATCGTATACTTCAACATTGAAGAGAAAATCTGATTGACAAAAAGGCTGTATTACACTTGCTATTGCTTCGAACATTAATGGTCAACAGTAAGAACAACAAGCACCCACTCCTACAAGGAAGCCAAAACCCTTTTGCATGACGTTTTAGAAAACATGCGACAGTACCTGTAGTTCCTCTTCCAGTTTAGCGTAATCCACCTTAAGCCGATCCAATTGACCGCTCAAAGCTGCTTCACGCGGACCGGGAGCCTCGCCCAATTCACGGTTTGAAGCCAATTCGCGTTCGAGAGAAAGAACACGATCCTGCGACGAACGGTGAAAAAAATAACGACAATAATACCGATAACATGACACACTGGCACAACCAGTGACAATGATAAGTATACAGGTACACATATGAATGGATGTATTCTAAACACAAAGAAAAATGTAGCCGGTGCGCGAAGAAGATCCTTCAGTGATACCAATCCAACGACAGATCTAACGCTCACCGTTCAACCTGAGTCGAAGGCTGTCAACTGCAGGCCACCAATTACGATAAAGCGCTGAGATAGTCAATCATGTGAGACATAGAAAAGAACTCGGTCTGATGGATTCCCCCAGATATCTATGAAAAATTGTTTATCTTTGTTGATTGGTAGGCCCAATTTATACTCTTCTCGACATGGAAACAGGTAACATATCCCAGCGATTGGGTCAAGTTCACCATGCTACCCAGTACCAAGGTGAAAAAGCCGTCTTCAAGGTCTACGGGGGATCGGCTTCATCGTGTACGGTTTTCGACTCGCCTCGCAATTGCTACAGGATGGTGCACACGACCGAAACAAGGGGTTTCACTGCGACAGGGGATGTGTTAAACAAACAATGCGCCGTGTATTTGAATACTGTTTCAAATTCAAACAGCACGGATGAGCGTAGCGTGAAATAGGCTGGTTTGGGAGATCACAATATGCAGTTTCAGTTTGTACGATCATTAACCATGCATTTTCGTGTGCCCGTTTTGGTTGCTGTCTTTTAACTGCCCATTTGAATGGGGTAATAGGAGAAAGAAAGGAAGGTGGAAAGTAGAATCAAAGAGAATACAGAAAATTTCAGTGGAACAGGATTTCAAAGAAACTGAGAACATGCACGCACGCCACTGTTTACGACACTTAGTCATATCACTCAGTGTCTCTAACCACCGTTTACGATCATCCCGAGGTTCAGACCCAAGGAGCGTAAGGCAACCTATTTGACCGAGTCTCCTGGTTAGGGTTTTCATAAACTCTTGCTTGGTTTTAGTTTGACCGTCTTTAACCTTTTTCCAACCGCTACCTGTATCGGCAAACACCGCTTGCCGTGGCAATCTATTCCTTGACATGCCTAACACATGCATCAACCAACGTAATCTATGAAGGTCGATCACTGGCTCCAGTGGGCGACCGCGGTTACCCAAAACTCTGCGCCTAACCTCAGCATTGATCGTCCGGCTGCCCCACCAGATTCGTGTAATGCTCCGTAAACAGTGGTGCCCAAACACCGACAGTCTAGCTTTATCCTGTTTTCTTAATGGTCAAGTTTCTGCGCCATATAAAAGAACTGGTCGAACTGCCAACCATCAACAGACAGCCGGATGTCGCGACGGCTAAACAGATGTCTCAAGTTGGCAAATGCCAACCGAGCATTCTGTATGCGATGCCGCTATCCTCGAACGAGGATAGGGTTGTTTCTATAATCAAATTTAAAACAAAGTGAACTTGTCGAAACGAAAACGCAAGTATGGGTTGTAGATAAATGATTAGCTTAAGCAGCAAAAGACTGATGAATCGAATAAAGCACCAGCATCTGCTTCCCGGAACACAGAATAACATTCAAAATCGAAAAAAACGCACCTCCTTTAGTATTTTGGTAAGTGAACTGGTAGAAAAATAATCGTTGTGAATGGGCTATCACGTTAATGTAATACATGTGAGTACGTCAGAGTGACCAGCCATATAATCATCATGATGAAAGCAACAGTCAAGGTTACCGAACAGCACCTATTGCGCGCACGTGAGTAGTGAATATGATAAACTAGAAACTAGAAATTCCGTCTCAGTTTATTGAGTTCATATCATCATTCACCATCTGATATTTGAAAGGAGATACTCGCTCTCTCTTTATGCGTATCTTTTCTGTTTATTTTTCTCATATTCGAAGCAACTTCATACTTATTCAATGACACAGTTCTCCGGTCCCGTTTTTTTTTCTGTTACTATATCGAACGGTAAAACCTGCAGCTAAAACTGAACAGACCGTGCATGCCGAATGCATACCAGCAAATTCATCACTAAAACAAATGAATATAGAACGTTAAACGTATACGCAACAACAACAACAACAACAACAATCAACTGCTTGCCAGATTTTCAGGCTTTAAAATGGTACATTATTGTTCGAACAATTTGACGTCTAACAATCGAATATAAAAGGGAAAACTAATGTTAGGATCAGTACACATTCACATGCACCCACGTACCTGCAACATGGTGGCATTCTTTTCCGCTTTCTGAGCCGCCTCGGTGGCATGATGCAACTGGCATCGAGTAGTGAATAGCGTCTCATGAAGTTTGGTAATCTGTTCCCGTTTGGCTTTGTAATTGGCCAAACATCGTTCCAATTCGGCTTTGAGTCTGTCCATGACTGATCGTGCCGGGGCCGGCGTGCTCGTCAAAATACCTTGACGAGTGAGCGAATGAAATTCTTCGGACCCGACTTCCATCGGAATAGTCGCATGCTGTTCGGGACCGAGAAGAGGGTCACTATTAGCAAAGCGCCTGCAACAAATGAATGGAAAAGAAG